TTCCACATCCATGCCTTCCTAACCATGAGAGATTTTATTCCTGCAAACTGTGAGCTAAAATAAACTCTTCCTCTCTTAAGTTGCTTTAAAAATCGATGTTTGACCCCAGACACAAGCAAAGTAACCGATATAGTTAATAGATATTCTTGAGGAATTGTGAATGAGGAATGAAGAATGGTGTTGTCAATCATCTCAAAGGATCAAATATTGCTATAGAAGAATAATGATAAACTAAAAAATAAAAAAAGATCTAAAGATCAGTGATTATATGTATAGCTCCATCCCAAACACACCAACATAGAAAAACACGAGGGAGGTCTTAATGATATAACTTCCTTCTTTCCCCTCACCACAACAAAGAAAACCCCAATTCAAACAGAAACCACTAAAAATTAAATGCTTTAAATGTTTATTTTTTTCAGAAAACCTTCTACAAGAGAGTCTCAAGCCTTTGTTTTCTCCTAGTAGCTCCAGTGCCCAAAGATGATGGAAAATGTTTTGGTACTTCAAAAGTTGCTGCAAGTAGTGGCAATGTCCAATCAAGCAGTTGCTAGACAAGTTCATGTAAGTCACTGAAGTTTGCATTGTTGGAACAGGTGGTCCTTGGATAAAGGCATTATCCTTAGGCTTCAAATGCTGAATAAATTCCCTGGTAAACATTACCAAGGGGAGAGGGCTGATTTATTTGCACATTGTAATTAAGAACAGATCCCAAGTCATAAGCCCTATAGCTGTATAGGAAGAAATAATCTCCATTAGAGCCTTGCAAAGCTGGAAGGGTATTGCATACATTCAGGAAATTGCCGTGTACTTGAGAGAAATTAAGTCCTTCAGTGCTTCTGCCACTTCCAATTGTCCCATAGAAGTTCCCATTTGCTCCAAAGCCATTTTGTGTTGCTCCGACAGCATACTGACTTGCCTCAAAAGTATGTGGGTTTGCCCAGAGATCGTATGGGCATGCCCTGAAAGCACATGGGGTTGCTGCTAAAGCATAGTGTCTTGTCCAGAAATCATATGGGTTTTCCACAAAGGCATAGTAATTTGGCCTGAAGGCATTTGAGTTTGCACTCAGAGTATACTGACTTGTCACAAAAGTATTTGGGCTTGTCCCAGAAGCATACTGGCTTAGCCCAAAAGCATATGGGTACGTTCCCAAAGGATACTGGTATGTCCAGAATACATTTGGGGTTGCCCCCATAGCACATTGGCTTATCCCAAAAGCATTTGGATATGATGCCAAAGCATATTGGCTTACTCCAAAAGGATTTGGGTATGGTTCCAAAGTGTACTGGGTTGTCCTGAAGGCATTTGGACTTGCCCAACCAAGAACATCCTGATATGCCCAGACGGCATTTGTGTTTGACCCCAGAGCATAGTTGCTTACCCCTACAGTATTTGTGATTGGCCTGGAAACATGCTGGCATGCCATGAAAGCACTTGAATTTGTCCCCAAAGTATTGGAATTTGCCTGCAATTCACTGGGGGTATCCCTGAAACCATTGGCATTGGTCACAGTGATATTTGAGTTTGCTCTGAAAGTATATGGATTAGTTCTTTGGGCATCTAGGTTGTCTTCTTGTGCATCTGAGTTAGCCATAAATTGGAAGCCTTGGCTGCATTCTCCTCTCCAGTGGCTTTCAAACCCAGCAGCTGGAATAGCTTTTCTTTCACTAACCATAGCCTTAGCTTTAATTTTACTCTGTCTTCCAGGATATTCTTTTGGGAGTGCCATTTTAACTTCACAACGGCTGGAACCAATGAAATGGAACCTGGTTTCTAAGACCTTTCTAGCAGGGGTTTCCTCCGTGTATTTGATAAAGCCAAAAGCTCTTCTCCTTTGTGTATTTGAACACAGTGGAAGCACAACAGCCTCTATCTGCCCAAATGTGCCAAAGTAGGCTCTTATTTTTTCTTCAGAAACTCGAGGGTTCAACCCACCCACAAAAACCTTTTTGATGGGGAATTGAGATTCAACGGCTTTAGCCCTTCTAAACTCTACTTTCTTTCCATCCACTTTGTGGTCTTTCACTTGCAGCACCTTCTCTACGGCAGAACTATCTTTGAAAAGCACGAATCCAAATCCCCTAGAGAGGCCGGTATTTGGGTCTATTTTTATGATAAAATCAATTACCTCACCGAAATGTGACAAGTATTTCAGAAGTGCTTGCTTGTTCAGTTCTGGAGAAAGTCCCCCAATGAACATTTTACTGGCATCCTGTTCATTTTTGGTGGCATCGATTCTGAACCCTGCATGGAACTGGTCTCTTTCACTGTACTTTCTCACAGAAAGGCCGGCGGTATTCATGGTAGATAGGCTGGATGGAGGTGACTTGGCTGTTGGTGAAAGACGGCTGAGGCACAAATGGCGACAGCATTGCCACTGTTGAGGAGTAGGGGGGATTGTCACAAAATAATGACGAAATAGAAGCAAGCATAGCAACTAGAGTCAACACAGCGACTACTTCCGGTTCTAAACTGGATGGGGGAGGGCAGGGATAGTGCCTGATTTTCACAGCAAAGGTGTTGATGTTTTTCGACCATAAGTAAACATGCCTACAGATTTTGTTTTTGTGCTCATAAGGCCCATTAAAAAGGACAGTTTACTAAAAAAGGAAGCAATTTTCATTCTTGTTCCTGTCTTTTCAGATTATATCTCTTTGAACTTTTGTTAAGCCCCCTCTCCCTGTTTAGATGGAAAGTGTCTTAAATGTCCAAGAAATACCAGTTCATTGTATCCTTTAGATGAGTTTCATATTAACTGTTAACTATTTGGGGGCTGAGATGGGAAAAGTATTCAGAGTTGAAACACCCTTCAGGGAAGACAAAATGCCTCTTGGTTTTCCAAATATACTAAAGGCATCCAAAATGAAATTTTAAAATAAAAGAATTTCACTGAGATTCACTCATGTAAATCATCTTTGTAATGTTTTAAATGTATTCACAAACTATTCTGTAATTACAATAACACAATTAATAAATGCACCCTCCTCCACAAAATTCTTAATCTCCTTTAAGCAGTCAATCCTTATTTCTCCATGACCCACTCAATGGTATAATCTGTGGCTTTTTCTCTTTTACTTCTTATACCTAACTGCTTTCAAGATGTGTCTAATCATATTTTGATTAATTTGTCCATATTGTGGATATGCCATAGTTAGTTTTTAGATTCCACAACTTCATACATTTCACTTGCCAGTTTGGCTTTCTTCCATTACTCCATACACACACACACACACACACACACACACACACACACACACACACACACACACACCAATAATCATGAGTTATTTCTTTTCTGGCACTCATTGTTATTTCTTATTAGCAGGCTAAGTAAGAATAGATCTTACAATTTTGTCTTCTAGTGAGAAAGCATTTAATATCAGGCAAATTTCTCTCTGTGTCCAAAGACCAAAGCTCAAATTTTAGATGCTTAATTTTGGCATATTTTTGTCCTTGTCATTGGGTATAATGAAGTAAAATATATCTATCACCTCCTTCTTCAATCTAAGTTTCTTTGAGGAAGGAGATTTTAAGTGTCTCCATAAATCTTCCCACAGTTTGTGTATATAATCATATTCAAGGAACTTTTGCAATTATTTCATGTTTATGTTTATGGCATCAGTCCTATGTTTAAAATGGTGGCCACTTCTCTCTCCAAACCGAAAGCTTAAATATTAAGCATAATTTTGAGAGCAGAAATGAAGCTGCATTCCCAAAATACCCTTATAGCTTCACATTTATAGCTCTCCACATGGGTGGCTTCATTCTAGACTCCCTTCTATGGTGTGATCTAACAGGTGGGATAAGTTCAAGGTTAGTATGTAGATTGGATAATGTTGCATGTGAAGATACAATATGATTTTGTGATACGCTGATGATACGCTTGGGATCAATTTGCTCAAGGATGCTATTTTGCCAAGTGCCTCCAGAAACTGCCTAATAAAAAATAAAGCTTCACCGTTCCAAAAGCATTTTTCTATTAGAATCACAATGTGTTATAATGACCCATCCACTTGCATAAAGTAGCACTGTACTCAGCATGTTTTCTTTCACTCTTCTGACCATGGACAAGACTGTTTTCCTGCTAGTCATCTGACAAATCAGCTTCAGAACTCATTAAGTTTTCAAGGCCACCATTCCTATTAAGAACTTTTTGTTTTGTTTTGTTTTGATTTGATTTTAATTCGAAAGAAAATTATTTTACATGTCAATCCCAGGTCCCTCCTCTCTTTCCCTGCCCCCATTTAACACCTTACCTACCCCATACCATTTCTGCTCCCAAAGGAGGGTGAGACCTTCCATAGGGGGTCTTCAGAGTCTGTCATATCCTTTGAGATAGGGCCTAGGCTAACCCCCTTGTGTCTAGGCTCAGGGAGTATTCCTAGATGTGGCATGGGCTCCCAAAGTCTATTCCTATGCCAGAGATAAGTACTGATCCACTACAAGAGGTCCCATAGATTTCCGAGGTCTCCTTACTGACACCCAAATTCTTTTTTATATTTAAACTAGAAACAAGCTTGTTTTACATGTCAATCACAGTTCTCCCTCCATCTCCTCCTCCCCTCCTCCCCACCAACTCCCTATCTCATTCCCATTCTGCTCCTCAGGGAGGGTGAGGCATTCCATGGGGGATCTTTAAAATCTGTCATACCATTTGGAGCAGGGCCTAGACACTCCCCCATGTGTCTAGGCTGAAAGAGTATCAAGTATCGCTCTATGTGTAATGGGCTCCCAAAGTCCATTCCTGTATTAAGGATAAATACTAGTCCACTATCAGTGGTTCCATAGATTAACGAGACCTCCAAACTTACATCCTCATTCAGCTGGTCTGGGACAGTCCTATGCAGGTTTCGAAGGTAGTAGTCTGGGGTCCATGAACTCCCCCTTGTCCAGGTCAGCTGTTTCTGTGGGGTTCTACATCTTAGTCTTGACCCATTTGCTTATCACTCCTCCCTGTTTGCAACTGCATTCCAGAGTTCAGCTCAGTGTTTAGCTGTGGTAGTCTGCTTCTGCTTCCATCAGCTACTAGATGAAGGCTCTAGGATGGCATATAAGGTAGTCATCAATCTCATTATTGGAGAAGGGCATTTAAGGTAGCCTCTCCACTATTGCTTAGATTGTTGTTGATCTCTGGACATTTCCGTATTGCTAGATTTCTCTTTAAACCTATAATTGCTCCCTCTATTATGGTATCGCTTTTCTTGCTCTCCTCTATTCTTCCCCTGATTTGATCTTGATCTCTCATGTCCTCCTCTCCCCTCTTCATCTCCCCTTCTCTTTTTCCTAATTCCTCTTCCCCTCCCCACATGCTGTCAATTAGCTCAGGTGATCTTGTCCCTCCCCCTTCTGTGGGGGACCAAGTTGGTCTTTCTCAGGGTCCTCTTTGTTTCCTAGCTTTTCTGGCAGTGTGGATTGTAGGCTGGTAATCTTTGTTCTATATCTAAAATGCATGTATCAATGAGTACATATCATGTTTGTGTTTTTGTGACTTGGTTAACTTGCTCAGGATGGTATCTTCTAGTTTCAAGCATTTGCCTGAGAATTTCAAGATTCTATTGTTTTGTTTTGCTTTTTTCCCCACTGAGTAGTACTCCATTGTGTAAATATACCACATTTTCTGTATCCATTCTTCAGTTGACAGGCATCTGGTTTGCTTCCAGGATCTGGCTACTTCATCTGTTTTGGGATGTTCAGGTCTTGCTGTTGTAGGGGCCCTAGATTCTGGTGGTGTCATATTGGTGTTTCTGTTTTTGAATGTGATTTATATTGCCTTCTTCTCTCATTCCTTCTTCTGGTGCATGCAGGAGGAGTCTTTTCCTCTCCTCATGGGTAAGGATCCAAGGTTCCCTTCTGGTGCATGAAAGCAAGTCCAATTATCTGATGGCTCTCCTCTTCCCCTGGGTGGAGTTGGGACTAGTACCAGGGCCTTGGTTATCGATGGGTGGGCTAGACCACCAGATTCGGATCCTCAGTGAGCAGTTCCAGGCCTCAGGTGGCTCCATTTTCATTGGAAGGCAGTCCAGAAACAGACCCATACTTTCCTCCCATGAGCAGAGATAGGAACTAGGATGCTGGTAGTCCCTGTGCGGGTGGCACTGCTTTATTGGGACACCCAGTGTGTGGTCCATGGTCCTCAGGCAGCTCCAATCAGGGCACCAGCAAGCAGGCCAGAAAGAGTCTGTCATAAATTTGTAATAAATAAAAAATTTTATAGGTATATTAGTTAATGTTCTCTAGAGAAAGGGAACTTATAGAATGAATCTCTCTCTCTCTCTCTCTCTCTCTCTGGAAGAAGTAGGCTCTAAGGACAGTGAAGGAATGGACTTGCCAGCAAGGTCAGAAAAAGCAGGTAAAGAGCAAAACTTCCTTCTTCCAGGTCTTTATATACAGTTCTAGAAAAAAAGTACAATGTACATTAAAGGTGTGTCTTCCTTCCTTTATATCCAGATTAAAGACATTTGCTTTACTGTATCAAAGGTCTGGACAAGAAGTGGATTCACCCACTTCAAACCAAGCAAAAAAAAATTCTCTCTCAGGTGCACCCTCTATTTCTGGATGTTAGTTCATTCCAGATTCAGGCTAGTTGACAAACAATAATAGCTAACAGAGCCAGACAGTGGTGGTACATACCTTTAATCCCCATACTTAGGAGACAGGGGCTGTTAGATCTCTGAGTTTGAGGCCAAGCTGGTGTATAGAGAAAGTTTCAGGACAGCCAGGACTACAAAGAGAAGCCTTATCTTGAGAAACCACAAAGTAAAAAAAAAGAAAAATAGCCTTCACAATAGGTGTCCAGTATTTATATCTAGGCTCCCTTATGATGTCTTTAGCTAAATGAGCTAAATATTTGAAATATAAATGGTTCATCCTCTGTGAATTGTCAATTCATTATTATAATAAATATAATCTTTCCATATATAGCACAAAGACTTCAATAATGAAAATAAGGACTCAAACTGTAAAAACTGGACTGTAAGGAAAATAAGTTACTTCACAAGGTAAAACTAATTCATTTAGCAAAAAATTCCTGATCATACTTTGATTATATTTGAATCTCATTATGCTCCTAAATTTTAGAACCCTCTCTATATCATTTTACTTTTAGTACCTGAACATCATTACTCACAGTTTGTTTTCTTCTGGTTTCTTATTTTTTTTCTTATTGCACTTCTATTTCCATTCCATTTGTTTAACTTTTATAGAATTCCCTAAAAGTATCTTCTTGAGAACCCATAGTATCTTTTCTATATGTCAGTGTTACCCAGATTCTGGTACCAACTTCTGTCTTACCATGTTCTCTAA